CACATAGCGGTCTTGATCTTTCGCCGATATACACCTCTCCACAGCTGCCACATGTGATCTTGTAGACCACCCCTCCGATTGTACAGTCGCCTTCCTTGCAGGATGGGCAGACCACATAATTGGAGGTGGTACATGAGCGGTCGTAGAGCCGATTGCGAACCAGCCAATGCTTTAGGTTATAGGGAGGTACATTCAGAATGGCAACTAGATTTTCCAGATCCGACCTCCTCAGACACTTTCTTATGGAAGTGCTAACCTCATCAGAGACGAATGATACAATGAACGGAATTTTGCCGTTCAGTAAGGTACCACGGGATCTGTTGCTAGTGACCGCATTTCTTTCCCTGCGGGAGGTCGAAGAATATACGTAGCCATTCAGCGCAGCTATTTCGTGTGCCATCTTCACTGATTCTTTTCGCTCATCTTCTCCACTGCAAACACTGGCTGCTGTACGGGACATATTCCTTACAACGGCCCGCTTGGTCTGAAAAGGATGAACCGAGTGGCAATGCACGTTGGTATTCTTATTGCAGAGCTTCCTGTACCATTTCGTTGAGAACATCCCGCTATGCAGCCTCATTTGTACATTCAGAAGTAGAAGCCAGCTTCCAGAGGGTCGTTCTCGTGTCAGTCGGATGTGCTAAGATTGAGAAGTAGGTCAAAACACATGTCCATCTGTTCTCGCGTCGAGCAAACTACGAAGCAGTCACCAATATAGCGCCAGTAGAGCAAGGGGGGTGTTTCAAAATTGGCGCTTCAACTTTCGACATGAGGGCTATGACCAGAGTAGGCGCCAGACGTTGCCCCATAGCTGAGCTGCTGATCTGCTCGAAATACTCTCCCGGCCACCTGAAGATGTTGTAACTGAGATATTCTTTTAACAACAATAGATAGTCCATGCATGTTGGTCATGCCTTGATGATGATTTAACAGTTCTAGTATTGCTTCCATGGCGGAAACATTACTCACGTTAGAGAAGAGACTCACATCAAATGATTCCATGACGCAGGCACTATTGGGTTGAAGTGCCTGAAGCTTGTGCAGGAACATCTGGGTGTTTGTCAGGAGGGAGGGTATGTATTTGAGAAGCTGCACCAAGATTACGTTTAGAAACCATGCTATACGATCAGTGGGACCCCCAATGTAGCTGACGATAGGTCGGACTTTGGTTGAGGTGGGGGCAATTGATGCTAAATCGCCTGTTGCTGCGAACTTATGTGTTTTTATCAGCAAGTGTAGCACAAGGCAACACGGTGACTCGATTTTGAGCTGTGTTATCAAGGAATGAGCCAAACCCGCTGATTTGGCAGTAGTCATCCACACTCGGCTGCGTTTGCGACACTGCATTTGGAAGTCCTTGGCTGAGGATGGTCGGTGAATAGAGGTATCTCCCAGATGGCGTTCTGTTATGACAATGTCAAGTTGACGGGGGATTACCACAAATTCTCACCCTTTGTCACTGATGGACAATCTGATGGTCGGGACCTGGTTTGATCTTGGAGCAGCTTCAGACCACAGGCTTGCTCTCGGCTGATGTTGGATGGCATGCGTTGTTTTTGGTACCTGCCGAGCACTTTAAATACTTCATCAGGGAATATTCTGATGCTGACATCGGAACTATTGCTAGGCTCCTGTTGTTTTCAGTACGTGCGAGAAAATGGCACGTTAAGGGCGTTGGTATTAGGGCCAGGTGTGAAGGAACCGCTGTCGGCCTTAGCCCTGTACCGGAGCCGGTCTTGGAGGTCATGTAAGTTGCATATAATTTTGCGCATAACAGCGGTGGAAATGCGGTAAGTAGCCCAACTTACTGTTGCGTGATGACCTCTGAGGTGTCGAATTTCAGTAGAGTAGTTGAGGCGTTTGGTCGGGTAGTCATAAATTGCTTCGATCTTTCCAGGCTCCGAAAAAGGCGATCCACGCCGAAACGTAAGCCGGAATAAAAGATTTTTATCAAGCTCGACCGAGTTCAAGCAGAGAAAACCAACGTTTGCACTATGCCGAGGTTTATAGATAGCCGTACATGGAGATTTAGTTGTGCTCCTTATTCTCATTCTCCTCGTGTAGTATTCTCTGGCTCTGAGCCCGTGGGTCTAGTTTCTTTTGTGTAGTTTCCCTCTTTGGCATCTTGTAGTTGTAGTATGTAAGTAAGCATTGCGTAGTAGTGTAATAAACTAGTAACCCATACTTCTGTATTGACCTTGGTAAGTGGGAAAGGTAGGGCACTCTGGTAACGACGGGAAGTGTAGGTTGTTTCGCCGCGTTCATATAGCTGGTTCCTGTGTCGTGGGCAGGGATCCCATCACGGAGTCTACGGCCTGGGGACGCCGTGGCAAGGTCGGTGGGCCTTCCCCAGCCAACACCCCTTCGTCCTCGGGGGGTTGGTCCGCCCTCCTGTACGGGGCGCAGGTGGGGTGTAGTGGTCCGGTGAGTGTGGAGGTTTGAGAGCTCAAGTACAGCCGATACGGATCGCGTCAAAAGGGTGGCCGTGAACCGCGATAAGAATCGGTGGAGACTTTCTGAACAACCTAACACAAACCTATAACTAATGACTGTGCTTGTCAAGTAGATCAAGTTTGCTGAGGTGTAAACCTGCTCGAAAAACAGCACATTGTACGGGTTGTGAGCATCAACTGAGTCACCAATGTCACCGTGACAACGAATTGAATGGTATCACTCTGCTTTGTTGCAGGGTTGCAGGCAGGAGGGNGGGGGGGGGGGGGGGGGGGGGGGGGGGGGGGGGGGGGGGAAAGAACCCCTTATGGGGTTTGAGTGAATTGTGAATTTGAGCAGTGAACAGGTACTGTTGTTTACATATTTCAGTGATCATATTGATTTGTCACTTCTACACAGCCTATGAGTCAAGCATACAACGTTGAAAGCGTAAAAAAACCTGGGTCACGGTCCGGATTATCGGCAGTGAGTTTGATATTGAACGGAGTGAAGTACCATTCAAATCGACACCCAGCAAGCGTGTTCCTAATATCTACTGCAGAAGCTTGTGCTTACAGGGTCTCTAGTTGGTTGAACAAATTGCCTTTTTATCTACAATACAAATCTTTCGATCAAATTGGGCAAGTATGCAATGTCTCACTTTTCCAAAAAGCTTTCTTGAAGATGAATTTACAGAACATGCCCGGTTTCTAGTGATTCACCTAACTTTTTTTTTGTTATTCGTTTCTCTATATTCCTTTCACTTCGATGAAAGTGTTCATAATTCTGCTTTATTTGCAGCGTACTCGTTTTCAGTCCTACATAAGTGCCTCCTCCGGCATGATTTTGTGTTCAGAGGTTCTGGGACACTTCTTCTTCTGCTCTATGAGAACATCTCTCCATTGAACGAATGACTCGGTTTTGGGTGGTATTCGTTCGCATTAATCCCAATGTGTTGGATTATTCGGTGTGTTGCTCAGCATCCAGAAGCGAAATCAAAACATCAATAAATAAAAAACGAAGGTTGACTAATTCCAGAATTGATATGCCGAAAGTAATATCGATCTGAAACAGGACTCAGTGATCAATCTTTTGAAAGAAAAAAATAAAGTGTAGCTAGTCAGGCTTGCAATCGGAGAACGATGTCAAACCGCTTGAAGCTTGCATGCGATGCGCACACGCTTTGGCAAAAAATTACGCAAGTACTATCAGAAGGTGGAAAAGGAATCTACGCAGAATTCGAATGAATGAGTGGCCGAAATGAGGTTCAGAGCAGATGTCTTGAAAGGAAAAATTGTCCAGCTATACACAAAAGCTAATTTCAACAAACCTGCACAATCTGGATGGGTGCAGGTATTGATACCGGATTTCGAGAAATAAATGAGAGCAAGTTGGTATGTAGCGGAATCGTTGAGCTCACGCGACTGAACGACAGCAGGGGAGCAGTAAGATGCTGTTCCTGCCTTTGACGCTGCGGCTGATTTTGCCTAAAATGTGCTTTGAATGTGCTACTGAGTTGTTGCCATCCGTCTCGAACGCAGGTAATCTTGGTAGTTTTTCATTAATTTTCTGCAAGAAGCTGATAAATTCAACAACGCTTCAAATACCATATTTATTCCCTCGGGGATTGTTGGTGAATTCAGCTCAAGTAGTTCTACCTTAACAATGCTTGCGCATCTGCCGACGGTTTCTCCGGCTGCTCAGGACACTGAACAACGCCACCTGCAGAAGCTGAGCACATGTCAGCTGATGGAAGCTGAAAGCAATTCAGTGAAAAATGAGATGAGCAGGAAAAGAACGAAATATTTATCGAAAAAACTCGTGCGTTTGCGTCGGCGCGTGACCGCGAAAAAGTGCTACGGTAGGAGTTTCATTTGAAGTTCCTCGCTCATCCATCTAATCCGAAAGTACTCAAATTGGTGACCAGAGCTTTTTTCTGCTTAGCAACATCTGAACCTATTAGCATATGGTAAAGAGCGCTTCGCGAGGTGGAGTGGGAAGAGAACGTGATGCGCGAGAATGTGCAAAGTCATAGATGAGTGTTTGCTTCAACAAGAGGTAGTTCAGCTACGAGATAAAACAGGCGTATAGGGATAATAGGATGAGCATAGAAAAGGGGTGATCTTGGGATAGAAACATGTATAATGCGATTTGTAAACAACCAAGAAAAGGTAAGAAAAATTGCAAAGAAAAGGCTTTTGAAATAAATGAAAAACGAAGCCATTCTACGAGTCGTTCACTAGGATGAGCAACAGTTGGGTTGGGATTGGCCCTCCTCCGATAACCTCTAGACGACTATGATATCGAACGCTCATTAGTTGGCGCTTTTTTGTATAAAACCGCAACGATGCTTCCCACTATAGAGTTTTTCTTTGATCGTATACAAGTTTCTCTGAAAAACCCTCGAATCGACTAATGATGGACTTCTGTATAGGGAAGCGTTTTAAGTATGCTACGGGCATGTTCATTGAAGATGATCCTCAAACGCTTTGTCTTCTGCAAACAAAAGTTTGCGGAACGATTGTGAGATTGGAATTCTTATGGTATTTCACAGTTCGCACATGCATGGTCCTAGATCGAATCTCGGATTGATACATCTCTGTGCTCGGCTACGGTACAATACTCATCTGTGAAGAAAAAAACAGTGACATCTATAATAGAAGACCACCGCAGTTGTATTTGCCAGATAAGCATTTGAACCACCATTACGATTCTGAATGAAAGCCGAATGAGGGGACGCAATGCCAGGAAACTTATTCTTAATTTTTCTCTCAGACCCTGCCTAGAAAGAAGTGAAAATAAGTATATATAGTAGTAAGTATAAGTATATAAAGTATATTCAGAGAATAATGGTAACCGTAAATCATTGACGCGGTGACTAGTAGAAGGAGGTAAGGTTAGAGTTCCATCTCTTTGCTCGAGCTTCCTGATTTTCTATTTAGGATTTTCGATTTAAGATCTTCCACTAGCAGAAATCAGATTATTGACAAGGACGAGCGACAAGTTTGCAGAGAGAATGAGAAAAGGCTCAGTAAAGCATCGTCAAAACAGTGGAATGCATAGCTTGCTTAGATTTTGTCGATTGCAGTGCATTGATGCACCCTCTCAGATGCAATGGATTCATGAGTTGAAAAATCTTATGATGGGATAACAATGGTCTGAGCATTTCTTCTAAGGAATAAATCAGCCACAGATCATTAGCATCGTCAACCATGTCGGGAAATTGCATGGACGAAGAGGTTGTATCAATCTGCTATCTGCGAGGTAGGAATTCGCACTCGATATTTTCGGAATGAAGATCAGGGTTCTGTTAGAGATTCATGAGAATCCGTTCCTACTTTAATACCGTTATCCGATATTGCTGACTGGCAGAGTATTTCATTGCAACCATCATTTATTTTTATGATGTGCAAGAAAACGCTCTTGTCTTTCGCGATGTCAAACATGTGGCTATGTATTAGGGTGTCCAAGGAGTTCGTAGAAAGTTCAGCCGGTTTTTTTCAACACAAAAAAAACTACAGCAACGAATTTAGATAAGTGATCAAGATAGTGGCCGTTCCTGGCCACAGTGCTTCTCGATCAACCGGACAGGGCGTTGATGCCATTTCTCCAACATCGGGCGGCTACGTACGCTATTGCTACGTACGCTATCGCGTGCGCTAGGGGCTATAGCCATGAGGGACGGAGCCACGTAAGCTTCTAATTTTCATTATAGACCTTTATCATCTGAGCCTCTTCTCTGACACTTCTGCAGCGTCCATCATTTTTTTGGGATGTAAAATGGGGCTGGGTGTGGCCAAGAAGAGTACTCCGATGTATACTAATCAAATACCTCCGCAGTCCATCTAGTCGAAGAAACCCTGTGTAGTTTGGGCTATGTGTGGCCATGAAAAATAGCTTCGAAAGGACATCTTCTTTGATTAGTTGTAGGGATTTACACGTCTCTACAGGGTATGCACCCTTGTGGCCGGGGTCACTGTAGAATTTATTTTATGAGGTGAGAAGTTAATGTAGTGCATTCGCTCATGTTAGAAGAGACTACTGTGTGTGGAACCATGGACACTAACTTTTAGAAATTTCAGTCTCATTTTTGGTCAGGGTAAGTGTGAAGGACAGATGTATAAATTTTTGATCTCAGCCCCTCCCCCCCTCTTTGCAAACCCCACCCACTTCAGACTTCGAACCACATAGCTTTTATTAGCTCCAGACCCCTTTTTCCCGCGTTGTCAAACGCACCTTAAGGGACTTAATAATTTTGATGTAAGCCCACTTTCGTACCAATCCCGCCTGTTCTTTTACACCTTGACAACTTGACCTTCTCAGAACTCTTCTGAATTGAATTATAAATTTTTGATCTGAGCTCCGCCCACTTTGGTGCCAACTACGCCCACTTGTGGAATCTGACCACATTTGTTCTACTACATCTTACCACTTTTTCCCCGCATCCCACACTGTTTCTGGATAGAGTTATAAATTTTTGAGCTAAGCCCCACCCACTTTAATGCCAACCCCGCCCAGTCCAGTGGTTTGACAACATTTGTTCTTTCACACCTTAACAGCTCTTTGCCGCATTACAAAACGTTTCTGAACAGAGTTATAAATTTTTGATCTAAGCTTCGCCCGCTTTGGTGCCAACCTCGCCCACTTCGAGAATTTGACCACATTTGTTCCATTATCTTCAACCATTTTTTTCCCGCATTCTAGAGCTTTCCAAGCATAGTTGCGTTCATTTTTGAAAAGTTACTTTCGTCTCAACGCACGCCCCGGCTATCGTGAGCGAGGCTTCGCTGAGCTCACGCATGCCCAGCACGCATGGAGCCCTGCTCACCCTTTTTTTATTTTTTTTCCTGACCTCTGCGCCTTAATAGAATCGAGTTATGAATACACCGAAATAAAAACCGCTCATTTTGAGAAAGCCATGCTCACAGCACGTGGGTCTCCTCCATCTGGTTTGTTGACCCAATCCTCACCTTTGAACATTTTTCTCCAGGCTTTCTCGAGGCCAAAATAGGATGTTTAGCTCTTGGCACCGCCCATTCCGGCACTTGCAACGCCCCCTGTTGGCGGAGCTCCGCACAGCTCGTATGTGCTCTCAAGCCCCACCCATCCCAAAGTTTTCCCGACTTCGAAAGGTGCCTTATCCGGCGAAACCGAATTGCGAGACACACAGACATACAAATATACATACATACATACATACATACATACATACATACATACATACATACATATATACATAAATACAAACAAACATACATACATACATACACATATACATAAATACAAACAAACAAACAAACACACCAAACTTGTGGATTATATATAGCAAGGATAGGGAGAGGCGTGACGCAATTCATTCATCTACTACCTACTTGACTTTTCTGGACAAATGGTGAATTTTTTCTGTAGAGCAGGACTATGGACCTCTGAAAGTATGGCAGTCATATAGGTTAAGGTCAGGTGAATATGTGGAAAGCGGGTTAGTCAGTGTATACCAAGTCTTTCTAGCGCATCCATCGACTTCCTCGCGCGGGGTGATCGGGCAGCATCAATTACGATTGAAAATTTCCTTATAATCGGTGTGAACTGAGGCTTTGAAACACCACCTCTCTCAATCTGTAACAGGATGCTATTGCGTCTACCACAGTACACTCTGATATGATCTCCCAATGAAACAGAGCAGGAATAATGAGCTCATGTCTTTCTTGGTGTGAGCGTCTCGCTTTATAGCGAGCTATGGTCCTACGTCCACTGTTAGGCACTGCGATTTCCTGTCTGGATTTTCGTATGGCATCTACATTATATGCTAAGCAGGGATGGAGTCGGTTGATGTCGTCGTTTGCTTACAGTCGAGGAGCTCCTGACAAACATTGACTTGCACTTGACACTCCTGCTCAGCCCAAGAGTGGGCTGAGCAGGAGTGTCGAGTGCGAGTCAATGTTCCTGTTACGATGCAAAAGTCCTGATTCTAAAGTGACTTTTGCGTGAAATGCAGTGGATGATGGATGGAAGAGTAGAGACTGTCTTCTCCATATCCTGTCACTTTGAGATGGATTGCTATGACGGGAGGCCAGAACAGTGTTGGTACCTGAGGACAGTGGAGGTTCAGGTCGACGAATTTCGTCAAAGCAAATCTCTTCCCAGAGGATGCGATCGCGCCATTTATGCTGGGTGACAGGAAAGGGTCACTGCTGCCAATCAGCCACCATATCTCATTCTAAGCTTGAGTATCAAATTGGATTAGTTCCGTAATGGAGGAAGAGAAGGTTCCGGTAGTCGTATCGACGGCATACCGTTTGGTTTGGTCTACGATTACTTACTTAGAACGAACAAGACGAATAGGGATTAATTATATCTTTGATGTGAGAACAAAGCCCCTTTCTCTGCTATCGAATATATGGTCCTTCTCTAGCGCATTCGCGAGCAACATGCTTTCAAATCTGAGAGGCAAAATTTTCTCGAAACTTCCCGAATTGATCTTGGTTTTACAGATAATCTGTAATGGTTAGAGATAAGGTGCAGCTGTTGGTGGATCAACTGAGTTAGTATCTGAGCAACTTACTTCCCCCGGCGGCTTGCTTGCCCTTCCCCTCCTGGATGGTCCGTTGTTCTACTTCCATTAAATGTCGACCCACCTACCAGTATATTTTGCCCGTTGAATTAAAGCTCTTAACATTTCATTATGTTGCTTTTTTCAATTCTTATGAAGCCTTTTTCTAAGTTGTGAATATCTTTTCACGA